CAGACTCCACCTTATTCAAGTGATGGAGAAACATCAGCTCTAGCTTATCTCCAGCAGGGGGAGCGCTGCCCCATCTGTCTGGCTCCCGGCAGGCACTTCGGTCCCTCCTGGTGACAGGCCCCATCTCCTGCCCTCTCTGCCATGCTTGCTGCCCCTAGAACTTCAGGAGCAGGGTGAAGGAAGTTGGTAACAACTGAAATCACGAAGCTTCTGGAAGCAAGAGGCAAAGGAAGGTCTGAGGCTTGCCTATGAGAGACACAGTTTGCGACCCCTTTTCTGCAAGGTGTTGTGTCCACAGTGCAGTTTCCCCACTGAACGCCGGAAGCAGTAGGTTGCCCCCATCACAGGAAAATTCTAGAATTGTATCAGCCCTTGAAGAAGAATGTGGGGCAGGGTGGGAAAGTAATAACTATGCAGGCCAGGAAATCACTGTTGCAGGAGAAAGTAGAATAGAGGAGACAAGACATAATGTGAATTTAAGAAACTTCTGCTGTCTCTACAAAATGAGTAAGAGGCTCTTCTGAAGTGTTTACAGGGGGGACATATGGATATTTTAACAAAACAAAATGAAAACCCGGTAAGATATTTACATTGTGTTTCCACACAAAAACATCTGCTAAAGGAGATAGAGGGGAAGGTGTATCATCAGAATTGGAATCAATGACGTATTTTTATGGCAGGTGTAAGCTGATAACAGAGACTTTTAACACAGGCATAAAAACTTAAAGTACTTTGCCATTCAGATGAAAGAAGCAGGGTTATGGATGGTCTTCCTCCACAATATCCTAGCCTATATAAAATTATCATGATGAAGTAGTTGTGCGCCTAGATCCTCAACTTATTGTCTCTGAGGATGTAATTCAAGCAGGTGTTACTGGGAAGTAGACGTAGGAAACCAATCCATTTAGATCACAGAGGTTTGTCAGAAACAGGAGGAACCAGCCATTAGTAGAAGATGGATTCCAGGCAGCTGGATGATGTGTTGAGAGAGAGGATGTTGCCTTGGGTCCTAACAAAATCCAGCTCTGCCAAAGAGAAACCCAGTGAGAATGGCATTTTTCTGTACATTTGGTCTGTAATCTGAATGATAAATCTCATCTCTATTTTTTTTAAGATTTTCTTTTTAAGTAATCTCTGCACCCAACGTGAGTCTCAAACCCCAAGATCAAGAGTAATGCACTCTACTGACTGAGCCAGCCAGCTGCCCCTAATCTCATCTCTCTATATTTTTTAAAGCTTTTTTTTTTTTAAGATTTTATTTATTTATTTAATTGACAGAGAGAGAGAGAGGGAATACAAGCAGGGGGAGTGCGAGAGGGAGAAGCAGGTTTCCCGCCAAGCAGAGAGCCCGATGCGGGGCTCAATCCCAGGACCCTGGGACCATGACCTGAGTGAGCCGAAGGCAGTCACTTAACCAACTGAGCCACCCAGGCACCCCTCATCTCTATATTTTTAATGATTCTTTTAAAGAAGTCCTTTGGCCTTATTTCTGTACTGACACTGATCCTAATCCTCTTAAGATCTGTACAGTAACAGATTATGAAAAATGACCAGAAGGTAATGGTGTTGTTTCATTTACCTTCTGTTGTAAACAGAACTTAACCAGTAGGTCTAGTCTCAAAAATTTTATTTTTGTTTTATTTTTACAGTCTGCCTCTGAACAACCAGACTTTTAACAGCTTTTTACAACTATCTCTAAAAGCATGGCAATAATTTCATAGGTATTGTGAGGCCCGATTCTAAGATGTTAGTTAATGAGTTCAGTAAAATTTTTTTCTTTAAAAATTACCTGTATATTCCCTTTTAAAAAATTAAGCCAACTTCAATTTCTAAAAATTAAGCCATTTTTTAAAGTTTATTTTTTTAGTAATCTCTACACCCAGTGTGGGGCTCGAACCACAATCCCGAGGTCAAGAGTCGCATGCTCCACCAACTGAGCCAGCCAGGGGACCCTAAAAATTAAGCCATTTTTAATAAAGTTATACATGTTGTAGTTTAAAAAGACACTCTTGCCATATCCCCAACTACCATGTAATTTACAATAAAAAGAAAATAAGGCATTCTAGCTATATGAAGTAGATAACGTTGCAAGACTATACAATGTAAACTTGAAGCGGTACAATATCATCAGTAATATTTTCAAAGGAGGCAACAGAATTCCATTTGCAATACCATCAAAAAGAATAAAATACTTAGAAACAAACTTAACCAAGGAGGCAAAAGACTTACTGAAAACCACTAAATGTTGCTGGAGAAAATTTTAAAAGACACAAATAAATAGAAAGTCATCCCATGTTTATGGATTATAAGATTTAACATTGTTAAGATGTCAATATTGCCCAAAGCAATCTATAGATTCAGTGTGATTTCTATCAAAATCCCAATGACATTTTTTTGTGGAAACAGAAAAATCCATTGTAAAATGCACATGGAACCTCAAGGAATCTCAAATAATGAAAGCAATCTTGAAAGAGAAGAACAAAGTTGGAGGTTTCGCACTTACTGATTTCAAAACTTATTACAAAACTACAGTGTTCAGAACAGTGTGGGACTAGCATAGAGACAGACACATAGACCAAAGGGATAGAATAGAGAGCCCAGAAATAGACCCAGGCAAAGATGGTCAAATGATTTTCAACAAGGGTGCCAAGACCATTCAGTGGGGAAATGGCAATCTCAACAAATGATGTTGGGCGAACTGGACATCCACTTGCAAAAGAATGAAGTTGAACCTGTACTTTACACCATCTGCAAAACTAAGCTCAAAGTTTATCTTAACTCAAAGCAAGAGCTAAAACTATAAAGCTCTTAAAAAAAAACTTAGGAGAAAAGCTTCATGACACTGGAATTGATAATGATTTCTTGGATTGGATACCAAAAATATAGGCAACTAAGGAAAAAGTAGTTAAATTGGAGTATATCAAAATTGAAAACTTCCCTGCATCAGAGGACACGATCAACACAGTGAAAAGGCAACCTATGGAATGGAAGAAAGTATTTGCAAATCATGTATCTGATGAGGGGTTAATATCCATAATATATAAAGAACTCCTACAACTCAACAGCAACAACAAAAACCCCCAAACGACCTGTTAAAATAGACAAAGGACTTGAATTGACTTGAATTTCTCTAAAGATATACAGATGGCCAACAAGCACATGAGAAGATGCTCAACATCACTCACCATCAGGGAAATGCAAATCAAAACCACAGTGAGATGCCACTCACACCCATTAAGATGAACGCTATCAAGAACAAAACAAAAAACAGAAAATAACAAGTGTTGGCGAGGATGTAGAGAAATTGGAACCCTTGTGCCCTGCTAGTGAGAATGTAACTGGTCCAGCTACCCTGGAAAATAGTGTGGAGGGCCCTCAGAAACTTAAAAATAGAACTACCATATCATCCAGCAATTCCACTTCTGGATATATATCCAAAAGAAGGGAAGGCAGAATCTTGAGAAGATATTCATTCATCCATGTTCACAGCAGCATTATTTATAGTAGCCAAAAGGTGGAAGCCATCCAAGTTCCACCCACAGATGAGCCGATAAACAAAATGCATTATAAACATACAATGAATTATTATTCAGCCTTAAAAAGGAAGGAAATTCTGACACCTGCTACCGCCTGGATGAACCTGGAGGCCATTATACTAAGTGAAATTAGCCATTCACATGAAAACACTGTGTCATTTCCCAGATGAGCTTCCTATAGCAGAGTCAGAATCATAGAAACAGAAAGTAGAGCTGTGGTTGCCAGGGGCTGGGGAGGGGAGAATGGGGAGTCAGTGTTTAATGGGACAGAGTTTCAGTTTTGCAAGATGATGGAGTCCTGGAGATGGATGGTGCTGATGGTTGCACAACAGTGTGAATGAGCTTCACACCACTGGGCATATACTTAAAAATGGTTAAGATGCTAAATTTGATGTGTATTTTATCACAATTTAAAGTGGGAGTTTACTTCAATTTAAAAATGAAACAACACAATGAATTGTCATTTGTTGAGTATCAGAATAGCAAAGATAAGTAAAAATTAACAATTTTTTGTGATGGAGAGGGTTTCAGAAAAAAGCAACTTCATATCCTGTTATTGTTACAACCCTTCCTGAGGGCAGTAATTTGAAAAAAATGTATCAAAATGTCAAAGATGTAGCCCTTGACCAAACAGGGGGTCCCTAATATCCTGTGCTTCTGCCTGTGGACTCACTGGCTCTCGGCCAACTCCTACAACTTCAAAGATTACCCTGAGACTTAAAGCAAAAACACACAATACAAAGTGGGGTGGGGTGTTGTCAGTGTGGGTCCAACCTGGTGCAGAACTGCCCAGCCACGGGACTGACGTTAGAGGAAGCCCAGGGGTGTGGGGGGCTGGGCACCCGAGGTACAGCGGCGGGAGGGAAGGTGCAGAATGGGGCAGCAGGTGCTGGCTAGGGCACAGACTCTCAGGTAAGCACATTCCTTCTATTTTTCCAATCAAGTGTGAGAGGTCATCACCTGAAAGCTGGGGACAGCGGCATTTAGAGGAGGAAGCACACCGTGTGAAGAGTTATCTAGGAAGGCAAACCTGTTGAGAAATCGAGTGGGACAGCTGGTTCTGAGCCTTTTCTGGGCTGGTGGTTGTGAACTGTCATTGGCACCCTTCTGCCTGGGTATTGAGTTGGGCATCAGCGGCTCCCAGCTGCAGGAAGACAGGATCGGAGGGACCCAACCCTGACCATTATCTGGCCGCTGTAGCATTTGCAAACAAGAGGAAGCTGAAAAGAGAAAGCAGTGAGGCAAGTGTTAACTACCTCGCAGAGCCGTGGTGAGGACAGAATGCCACAGAGTACAGAACTGACCAGCAGTGTGCAGGTGCTAAACATAAATCTGTGCCCACCTTCCCTTTCCTTTCCCGTCCCATCATTCCCCTCGAGCGCAGAAGCTGAGATTCCTGGATAGAAATGGAGCCGCCCCATCCCCCACTCCCCAGAGGGCAACTGTCCAGTGGCAATGGGGGAAACTTCCAGCGTCCCATCTGCTCCTCAAAGCCCATCCCCCCCCCAACCTCCTTGCCCATTGCAGAGATTGGCGTGGGTACCACCGGCTTCGGCATCTTCTTCATCCTCCTTGGAATACTCCTGTACTTTGATTCCGTGCTCCTGGCCTTCGGAAACGTGAGTCCCCCAGCCTGTGTCCTTTCCCCACCAACCTACCTGAGGTCTCTATTGCCTGGAAGGTCAGCCCCAAGTTCATTCAAATCGTGCCCATCCAAGGGTCAGTACCATCAAGCCCTGGAAGGTGAGGGTGGCTGGGGATGCACAGTGAGGCGCGCGGGGCACGGAGAATCTGAGGACGTGAATTCTCATGGCAAGCTCTGGGTGAGGCCCTGCAGCTACCAAGACGAATCGGCCACCATCCCTGCCATTGTAATCCCCCCCACCCAGTCGAGGGATAGGGACACAACCCGAACATCCATAACTGCGAAGGAAGGCAGGGGCAGCCATAAAGTCACAGTAAGATAAGCACATTGAATATAAAACATTGGAGGAAAGAAAGCACGCCCAACTGCAGAAGGATGAGGAATTTGGAAAGGAAGTGGGTGTGAAGCGGGATGAAGCACTTGCAGGCAGATGAACAATGAGAGAAAAGGTATGGAGAAGGGGAGAGAAGGCATGGAACATGCTGGAAGAAAGCCAGAGAGTTCAATTTGATGGACACCTAGGCACTCCTAAGGGACCATTAGGAGCCAAGCTGAAGGTAATGACTGGGCCAGACAGCGGAGTCCCGAGGGTTCCATGTGACTCTGGGTATGGCTGCCTACACCTCAGCGTTCATGTCTGTAAAATGGACAGACTCTATCTATCCCTCCTTCCTTGCGAGGTGTGTGGAGAGATGAAGTCATATATGAAAAAGTGTCTGGGATCCAAGAAGTTGGGTTGAACTGGGTGAGCAGTTGGGAGACCAAAGTTCTCCTTGTCCATCCGCCTATCTCTGGGCAGCTCGGTTCCTAACCAGCAGAAATGACTCAAGGCTCTGGGAGTTTGCCACACTGTGGGGTCACTCTCTCTGATGTGTCCCTCTTTGAAGCATTAGCAAGTCCTGCCCCATGCCTGACGTGGGGCGCCAGGCCTGACCCCTGACTCCCAGGGGCGTTGCTGTGTTTGCTCTCATGCTTCTCTCCCTCCCTCCCCCGCAGCTGCTGTTCATGACCGGCCTCTTGTTCATCATCGGCCTGAGGAGGACATTTTCCTTCTTCTTCCAGAGGCACAAGCTCAAAGGGACCAGCTTCTTTCTGGGGGGTGTGGTCATTGTACTGTTGCGCTGGCCCCTCCTGGGCATGTTCCTGGAGACCTATGGATTCTTCAGCCTCTTCAAGTGAGTGCAGGTCTCTTTCCCCTGGACGAGCCCCACTAGGGCCTCTGAGTAGCTGAGATCAGCCTACCGGGTTTGGGCAGGACGACCAGCAGCAGGGTGTGCAGAAGCTGGGACTTTATCCTGCAGATGGGGGTTGTGGAAGGACTGAAAAGGCAGGAGGGGCATCAGGCAGACACTTTCCAAGACATCCTACTCCAACAGTAGGATGAAGGACAAATTGGAGGGATCGGCCCATCCATCAGCAAACACTGAGCACCTGCTGTGTGCCTGGCACTGTGCCTGCCCCCAAGGAGGAGACAGAGGGCCTGCCTTCAAGTTGAACAACCCAGCAGGGAGGAAGGGCAGTGAACTAGCATCTTCCAGGCCCGTCATATGCCCCAAGCATGCTCACAATCATCACTCACTTTGTCGTCCTTACGACGCGCTGCAGGACTGCTTTCTGCAGATAAGGAAACCATCTCAGAGAGGCTGCCCCCTGCCCAAGGTCTCACAGATTGTATGCCGAGGATCTGGACTGGATCCAGCTGTGCCTGGCTGCTGGCCCCACATCCCTCGGCCTGGCCTGCTGACAAGCGAGTCGGAAGTCAGCGAAGATGTGTGGCCACTGCCAGGGCCAGGGGAGGGGTCCTAGAGGAAGCAGGACCTGGAACAGGCCCTGGGGACAGGCAGGCAGGCTTTAAGAGGAGACTACAGGGTGTTTAAGGAGAAGAAAGGAAAGGCTGCTGAGGAAGGAGGGGCGAGGGAGGGAAGACTCTCAGTGTCTCTGGGGATGGGGATGACGGGGGCTGGAAGAAACATGGCTTATGGAATCATGGGAAGGAGCCAGGGTCAGGACCTCGGGTTCTCATAAGGCCTTCCGTTTGCTCACTGCAGCCTTGAAAACACCTTGATGAGCCCGAGTGCCCCAGACCACCTAGACATCCTATAAAGTGGTTTCAAGAAACTAAATTTTCTCACACACGCTCTGCCATTCACTTACTGAATATTCAAATATGTCATCATTTAGTCATTTATTCAAATAGTCAAAAACGTAAAAAAAGGACCCACTGCATGCCAAATCCAGAGCTAGGTGTGGGGCTGTGGTACTAAACCAGGAGAAACTCCCTGAGGAACTTGCAACCTAGTTGAGAAGACAAATTCTGACAACAGTGACCAGCTTCTGAGGGACTAGAACCATGAGTGGGGCCACCGCAGATTCCGTAGTTTGAACCAACAGTAAACCCTGACAGAGTCCCCTGGCAACAGCATTGCTGGGGGCAGAAATCCCAAATGGGACCTCTAAGGGATGTCAGAACCTCAGGGAAATGAAGCCCAAGGAAAGGAAGTAGCTCAGCCAGAATTCAAAGTTCTAACCCCCTCGCCTCTGCACACACGCAGGGCTCCCTCCCCATGCTAACCTCAGTGCCTCCAAGCCCTTTGAAGGATCCCACACATGCGCCCAGCCAGGCCTTGCCAGGGTGTGTCTGAGAAGAGTGGGCGTGCCAAGAGCAAAGACTTCACGCACGGGATGCCGAGGCGAGCGGGAAAATCATCACGGGCACAGCCTCCACCGGCCGCCCATGCCTGGAGCCCAGGAAATCTGCGGCAGGCGGTATACCCCCAACCTAGGGAGGTGAAGACAGCGACAGTCATGTAAACAAAAGCTTCCCCAACATTTCTTTGTATAAGGCCCTATGGTGTAGGTACTATTATTATTAATGCCATTTACAGCTGGAAACTGAGATTCAGAGAAGTTAAGGAATTTGCCCAAGTTTATACGGCACCAGGAAGTGGTAGAGCCAAGATTTGAATCCAAGGAGCCTGACCCCAGCCCCTTTATTCTTACCCTCTCCACATGGTTGTCTCCCCAAAACCAGGGGTGCAGAACCAAGTGGGGTCCCAGTGCCCAGGGGCCCGCTTTCTTGGGAACCAAAGCTGGAGCCTTTGGGTGGACCTCAGCCTGGATGCCCTCTCCCCTCTCCCCCAAGGCCATCACTGACCCCTCTCCCCACCCTCTGCTCCTAGGGGCTTTTTCCCTGCCGTCTTTGGCTTCCTGGGCAATGCCTCCAACATCCCCTTCCTGAGCGAGGTAAGTGGATGATGCATGTGGCTTAGTGGTGGTGCCTTGGGGTGGGGGGCCCTGGTGAGACTGCGGCCCCCGCACAGCGGACCTTTCCCCATCTCCCCTCAAGCCCCTTTCCCCAGGTTGGCCAGCCTCAGCACCCCTTCCCGTCCCCACAGCATCTCCATCTGCCCAGAGCAGCTGAGGAGAGGGGACCCGGGAGCATTGTGCCTGAGGCCTGGGTAGAGAGCAAGGTGGCTATTCATAGCTCCTTATTAGAGCCAAAGAAACAGATTCAGAGAGTCTAGGTGACCCAGCCAGAAAGTGCCAGGGATTTCTGGAGAGCTGGCTGAGTCAGCCCCAGGCATGGAGAGGATGTATGACAGCCAATGACAGCAGCAGTGGGTGGCAGATTCCGCTCTCTCCATGGGGCAGGCATGGGGCAGTTGTCCCCAGCTGCTGCCCCTCCCTTTCTCTAAAGCATATTTTCTGACAGAATGGGAGCTCTCTGAGAAGCTCGGGGCGGCCCTGCAGCCAGCTGGCTCATCCCAGTGGCCCCCTCTCCCTATTTGCACTTGGCACCGCTCCCAGCTCTAAAGACCCACTCCACAATAACCTAGATAGAGACGGAGTGTGCTCCTCACTCTTTGTCTGGAGTAATGATTCTTGGCTCCCACAGCTGTTCCGGAGGCTTCAGGGCACCAGATCAATGGTCTGAACAGCAGAGATGAGCTCCTTGAACTTGGATCATTGGTTGAGGGGGCTGGAAAGGAAATGGGGTCCGCCCCCACCCTGCACTGACTCATCTCCCGCATCATACCCAGACCGCTCCAAGTCCAGAAGGAAGGAAGGAGTTGAATGACTGACTGCAAATCCCCAAGTCAACTCAAAAGGCTGTTGGCATGGCTGGGAGCAGAGATCCGGGGGGGCCCCCAGAGAGACCGGACTGGGGCTGGTATCACATCCTGCCCCGCATTTATGGGAGGAAAGCAAAGATTAAATCCCCAAGCTGTGTGTCTGAGACTCAAAGTCACTGTCTCCAGCCTGTCAAGTCCAGTCCCTGACTCAGGGCAGGCCGACGCACGGCATTCCATGGAGTGAGGGGCAGGCCTGCTCCCGGAGGCTGTCATTTTTATCCTGGTGGTTAACAGTCCTAATGAGTGAGATAATATGTTTGTAAACCCCTGTTAGCAGTAGGCATCAGACAAGTGATGGGTATTAATCCTGCATACTGGTGGGAAATGCTACCCAACCATTAATTAGATGGATGTGTGCACAGGGCACCCACAGATAGCCCCTGTGCTGAGAGAGCTTCCTGTCTGAGGGTGGAGACATCGCCCCTGCCTTCGGAGAGCCCAAGTCTGATGGAGGAGACATTCTCTCTCCTGGCGATCCCCTCAGCCCAGGGTAAAGAGTGTTCTTGCAGGCCCAGGAAGGAGACGAGTGCCTTGCAATGCGTGCATTTAGTAACTCCCTGTGAGGGCCCTCGGCGTCTATACCGAGCACAGGGGTGCGTGCTGAGGGTGCAAAAGGAAGCCGGTCGCTGCTATCAGAGCAAGGTACACAGCAATCCCAAAGCAGTGTGATCATGAGACGTGCAGGGGGACCCGGGAGCAGCAGGGTCAGGTGCGTCAGGTGCTGTACCTGGAGGTTAACTCTGGGTTTCCTGGGCACTTCCCAGGGACACCCACCTTCTAGAGCTGCTTTCTTCGTCCCCTAGGTCAGACTGTGCCTTTCTCTCCCTTCCGCCCCCTTCATTATGCTCTCTTCACACGGGGTGCTCTTGTGGCTCTTGTCTGAGGGCACGAGCCCCCCCTTCCCCTCCCCCTCAGATCATCCATTTCCATGTCATTTGGGGCAGAATGGGTCTCCTGCTAAGTGGGTCTGGGGCCAAGGGGGTGAGGAGGTTGGAAGGACCAGTGGGAATCAGAAAGCCAGCCTTGGAGGGCTTCTGGAGGGGGAGAAAGAGGCTGATTTGTCCTGAGAGCCAGGCGGTGGGAGGCAGCAAACGCTGGGCTCTCTGAGGGGTCTGAGGAGGGGGAGGAGGCAGAGGTGGGCCTGTGCCTGGAGACGTCACCTTGGGCTTTATAAAACGGCCGTGATCAGGCCACTGCGGGGCCCAGCTGCCCTCTCTGTGCGTGTTCAGCGACCCAAGCAGCGCCTGGAGACCCCACGGAACTCCGACCCCGCCCGACAGAGCCAAGGTAGGTACACGAGGGCACCCCCACTTAGAGAGGGGTCTGCCTAGCCCCAGGGAGGATCCCCAGGGAGGAGCAGGAATTTCCTTCTAAGACTGACAAGACATATCCCTGGCTGGCAAAGGGGGCGCTGATCTTTCCTGATTATCAGGTTGGCCAGATGATTCTGGGATGTCTCGGTGAATACCCTGACTCGAATTTATGAAACCAGGACCTTGGAGAATCCCTTACTGTGGAAGGAATAAAAGCAGTGAGCGAGCTCTTGCTGGGATGAGAGGCCACAGAAGCTTTTGGAGGGAGCTGGGGAACCCCTCAGGGCTCAGGGGCTCCATAGGACTCCTCCAAGCCTTTCCCCCAACGTATGGATGGCAAGTACAAACCTAACCAAAGAGCCCCTACGCGCCCTGCTGGCCCCCTGCACTAAGAACTGCGGGTTACTCCAGCAAGGAAGCCACCTCACTTCAAAAGCCTTCCCACCACGCCTGGAATCTATTACCCACTAGGTATAAAGCCTGGGGCGAGGGCACAAAAATTGCCCACAGCAGGTCAGCCTCTCCAGGCCCCGTGAAAGCTGTTCTTTTCCAAACAATTCAACTCTACCACATGTGTTAAATGCTTCTGTGCTGGGAAGTGAACTGAGGAGTTGGGTGTATGGGTGTGTGCGTGTGTGTTCTCACCTGGCCAGGTGCTAAGTGGATCTATGAGGAGGAGGAGGTGCTACGGGTGGGAGGAGCTTGGAAGAAGGAACCCTTACCTAACCACACAGCCTGCCCACCCCCCACCTTCCCCACTCACCGCCCTGCTCCTGCAGAGCGGCCAGGATGCTCCACCTGAAATGCAACACACATGCCCCCCCTCAGGCTCAGCCTACTCGGGGATAAAGCCCCCCTGTGCCCCTCCTCCAGCCTCACCACTGTCTTTCTCTCCAGCCAAGCTCTGCGCTCCCGGCAGGCTGGAGGGCCTGTGGTCCCCGCCCCGCCCGGCCCCTGCTGCCCAGCTCCAGCGCCCCCTGCTGGAAATGCCTTCCTTAATCCTGTATTCATGGGGCTGATCCGTGCTCAGAAACTCAGCTCCAGAACCACCCCCCGCCCCGGGGCAAACCCGCCTGCCCCGCTCCAGGGTGAGCTCCCATGGGCTCCCACAGCTCCCTGGGTACCCACACTCCCCCAGCCTATCATTTCCGGTGTTATTTTGAAATGGCCGGCTAAGACGGCTCAATTTCTTGAGCTTGATCTTGGGGAAGGGCTGGAAACAAGCAGCCCTGGGTCTTAGCACACCTGTGCCCCCCACCCCCCCCAGCATCTAGCACAGCACCTAGCTGGTGCTGTGATCAGGTATGATCTCTGAACTAACCTGGACCCTGTGCATCCCGGGTTTGAAGCCATAAAAGAAATGGTTTTCCGCTGCTCTCTCTAATGAACTGATCCTGCCTCTCCTCTTTAGAGCAGGTGCAGAAAGACTTGTCTGGATTTCAGAGTGTCACAGAATCAGTCTGTAAGGAAAAGCGACTGAGGGGATAGTCAGTGACCAGTCTGATACAGTGCTCTTATTTCACAGAGGAGCAATATGGTCCAGAGATGGGGGTAACTTGCTAACGCCCCACAGGGAGTGGGGCAGAGCTGGGGCCAGACTTGAGTGTTCTGTTTGTTTGTTTTTTTAAAGATTTTATTTTATTTGACAGAGAGAGACACAGCGAGAGAGGGAACACAAGCAGGGGGAGTGGGAGAGGGAGAAGCAGGCTTCCCGCGGAGCAGGGAGCCCGATGCGGGGCTCGATCCCAGGACCCTGGGATCATGACCTGAGCCGAAGGCAGACGCTTAACGACTGAGCCACCCAGGCGGCCCCAGACTTGAGTGTTCTTGATCCCATTTCAGGAGTCTTCCTCTCTGCCCCCTGCCTAGGTCCTGCAGAGGAATGGGGGTGGGCCAAGAACAAAGGTATGGACAGGGCTGAGCAACCATTAGCAGCCCACGGGCACCACTGATAGCCCCGCCCCTCCCACTTGCCCCCCTGGACCACAGAGACTCCGGCCAACACCCTTTTTGTCCAGCCTTTGGACCTGCCTCCCCACCAGTTTGTCTTTACTCACGTTTGTTGGACAATCTCAAAGTGCCTGGTGGCTTTTTCAAAGACAAATTCAACTTGAGAGCTGGAAGGGCTGGGGTGGAAGGCAAAGGGGGTGTAGTGAGGGTCAGGGTACGCAGCTCCCATCTCAGCGGCCAAAATCACGAGGTCAGTTCAATTCATATCTTCTTGGAGCCCACGAGGAATAGAATAAGGAGAAAATTGACCCGATGAATCAGGGAAAGTTTTTTCTCTTCTTTGTATTACAGACAATGAGACAATTTAGTGACAGTCCTCAAGGCTGTGAAGGGTTATGAGAACAAGACGATTGCCTCTTTCTTCCTTTTTTCTTGAAAAACAAAGGGAATGAAGTCCCTGTTGCCACAGGAGGGAGCTGGGCCAGGTTCAGGAAGGCACAGTCTAACGGGAGAGTTGGGCACAGCAAGCCCAGCACGGAGCTCCTAGGCTCCAGAGAACGTCTGGACCTCAGGGCGCTCCACTCAGTGGAGCTCCTTGCCCTGTTTGACTTCACCCCCCACCCCCGCAGCCCTCATTGCCACACTGCCCTTCACTCCAGGGCTCCCCTCTTCACACTGGGCTCTGCCCCAGCACCCAGCCCACACCGTGCACCTGGCTTAGTCCTCCTCCCCCTCCCTCTGTCTCAGCCTCAGGACACTGTCAGGACCTGTGCCTTCTCACCACGATGAATTCACTGGTTTCTTGGCAGCTGATGCTTTTCCTCTGTGCCTCCTCCTTCAGGGAGACACTTGAAAAGATGGCACCTGTGGAGAATCCTAGACCGACAGGTATGCTTTGCCTGGGAAGAAGGGTGGGAGTTGTTGCAAAATGAGAGTCACCCTATTTTTCAGAGTGAGGCTAGTCTATCGATGTGAGTTTCACACGGCATTTAATGGGAACCTAAGACTAGCACATGCAACTTATTGGGGGGCCCATGAATCTTGCAAGTAAGGGATGGCTTACTGCTCTTTATGGGCATCAGTAGGCTCACCTAGGTTCAGGTGCTTGTTAACCACTGAGCTCCTTCATGGTCTTCTCACACTGTGTTCTCTGCTCTACGCCAACCACCTGTCTGAGGAGATCCGTTGGGAAGAAATTTACTATGCAAGTTTCTTTCATCAGTGATCTCAGACCCTTTGTGGGGAATTTGGAAAAAAAAGAGAAAAGACTTAAACAAAAGGACAGATCCTTAATACCTGTCAACCTTATGAGTTCGTTGTGCAACTGATTAGCTGGAGAAACTGAGGCCCAAGGAGGTAAAGAACCCCCCCCCCCCCCCAAGTCAGCCAAATGCTGCAGCAGCCCAGCAGGTGCTGCAGCTGCCAAGAGTGTGTCTCTGAGGGGCACAAGCCAGTCCCCGAAGTCCCCGAGACAGGAGCCGTGGGTTTAACACTGCTTGGTGGTCAGTTTCCTGGGCAAACTAGCACATGGCTTAGCCTCTCCGGCCTGCAGTTCTGGCTTTGGAACTTGGAGCGTACCCTTTACGCAGAGGATAGCATCAAGCCCATAAAATATCCCAGAGCAAAGAGAATATGCCCCTGGGTGTCCTTGGCCAACAGTGTTTTCTCTCCTGGGATCAGGTATTCTTTCTGGCTGAGGGAGGCTCCCCCAGAGAATAACCTCACCGCAGCCCCAGGGACATTGACCTGTTGGTCAGCAAATGGCTTTAGGTGAGGCCACAAACAATAGCCTGAGTGGTTATCCTACTTCAGGGATGATGGGCTTAAGCGGGAAGGAAGCCATCATCCCTCCCTGCCTCAGCCGGGCCCTAAGCAAGGTGGGAGGGGCATTCTAGGAAGAATAGCATTAACTCTGAACCATGCCCACACTCCCCTTCTCCAAAGTATGCCAAGGCATTGAAGAGCAGGGCCCAAAGCCAACTACCCCCCTCAACACACACCCACTCACACACCAGGCCTCATTTCCACTAATCTCATGCCACAATTGGCTGGGGTTCTTGTCTACTCAGAGCTAGTTGCACTATTTTACTGCCAAAAATTAGAGTGAACTTAACAAGCCTTTTGCATGTGAAACGCATTCAAATTAGCCTTGTTAGCCCTCAGTGTGCAGGGGAGAGATTATACCTACAGTGGGGGGAGGTGAGCAGGTTAAGGTGACCCAGATCATTTTCCATTCTTCACTGAGTCCTCCTGTAGCTTATTAATGGTCACAGTAATTGGAGAGGGGTGTGGGGCACAGTGGTCCTAGTTCTCTCGTTTCTGTAACTACAAGCTGTTCACTCGCTTTTATATACTTAACAAGCATTTGAGGCCCTACTGAATGCAGGTCACCGTTTCAAGCACGCAGAGATAGAGCTGAATGAACATGGCTCCCACCTGCCCCCAGGAGCTCAGTCCCGTGGGGGAACCTGATGCAGAGACAGCAAGTACTGCAGGCTTATTTCCAAGGTCTACCCTGTTTGCTTCCAAAAAGGAAGTAGTTTAATATGAGATGTTTAAGATCATCCTGGAAAACCTTTGCAACCAAAGCTATGTTCAAAGAGAGAGGAGCCAATGACCTAACCATCATCTGAGCTAAGATGCACCTGCAGGTGGTGCCCCGCTTTGGGCTCTGGGCTTCCTAGAGGTCAAGGAAGGAAAGGGAAGCACAGGATAGGGATGTGAGCCGGGGTTCCAAAGCCGTCTCTCCTGGGCCCTGGCCTCACCGCAGCCTCTCTCTGTGGCTCTGTCCTAGGCCAGCGGCTGGGACGCCAGGCCCTCCTAGCCCCGTGGGAGCAGAGCCCGCGGTGGGCAGAGTGGAAGTCCGCCGGGGCCCGGCCCAGCCCGCGGGAGGCCTCGCTGTGCCCGCCTCCGGAGAGCCCCGCGGGGCCCCAGCGGCCAGGCCTGTGCGCCCCCCGCAGCCGCCTGATGCCCGCCCCCCCGGGCGCGGTGCTGGTGCAGCGGGAAAGGGACCTGTCCGCCTACAACTGGAACTCCTTCGGCCTGCGCTACGGCAAGCGGCAGACTGCGCCTCCCGCAGGGCTCAGCGGGGGCGCCGGGCGTGGCTGAGCGCGAGGTGCTGGGGGCCGTGAACTTCAAACCGGGACCAGGGAACCGGGCTTGCGGGGTTGGTGCGGGGGTGGGGGGTAGGGCAGTGGGAGGGGGACTGGGGTTTCTGTCCTGAAGTAATAAAGGGAATGCTGCCGACACACCCTGGAGTGATTTGTGGCTAATTTTTGCAAGCAGCGCAGATGAGATTGTTTTCCTTCTCTCTTCACTTGGAGCTTTTGCTGATTTTAAGATAGCTTTTAGTGTTATCAAGCACAGATAACAGTGCTTTTCAAACTAGAGATGTGAAGGACCAGACTGTTTTTCCCCAATCTGGGGCAGATCGATACTTACAAACACACACACAGTGAATCACTAAAAAACTGAAAAATTTCAAAATAAAGAGAAACCCAGACTGGATGCCGCTTCGGTGTTTCAGCAATATCAAATTTCTGTTAAAATTTCTGAAGCAGTCCTCTTCCCTCCTAGACTTCTCTCATTGCCCACAGGTTACAACATTTTGCAGGGGAGCATGAGCTGTTGCCCACACTCTGAGTAGCACTGATCTAGGCTGGGGGGAGACAACATCAGCACGTTTCCCTTTCCAAGGGAAGCTTACAGCCAGTTGGACACCTTGATCTGGAAGACGATGCCAACCACTGCCCTGTCCACTGAAGTTTAAAGATCACTGCAGCCCCACAGTCAGACCGCTGCTGGGGTGCTCAGACCCAAGGTCCTGGTGCCCCACTCTGCATGCAAGGGGATGTCACCAGTGGCCTCGGGGCCGTCCATCCCCCTCCCCCAGGGAAAGCCCTGGATGGGTCCTGTTCTTGACGTGTACCTCTTTTCTGCATCCTCGGACTCACCCAGAGGGCTGGGCATGTGGTAGCCCCATTTTCACAGGTGAGAACCCTGAGGGTCAGAAAGATACAGAACTCCCTGAAGGCACACAGCCAATGAACGGTGAGCCTCATCAGGCTCCCAACACCAGCACCTGGCTCCCCGGCTTCACCGTCACGCCTGAGAGGGAAGGGTTTCCATCTGAGTCAGCCATGCTGGACATCAGGAAAGGTCGGTCTGCTTGTGGGGACATTCTTGGAGGCCCCCAAGAGCTGGGGCGTTGGTTGCTATAGTAAGAAGTAGAGGCTTGTTGGGAGGGAAACTGAGAGGAAATCCACCCCTCTGCCCACAGGAAAACCCGGCCCTATTTGGCAGCCTGCAGCTCCTCCTACCCTGCTTGGTCTAGGATGGAAATGTTCTTTCCCAGAAGGATTATGGGGCCACCGCCATCCTGTGGAGCGCCACAGTGTTCCACCCATTACAGAAACCAGGACTCCACTGAATGAAGGCGGACGTGTTGCTATGGCAATGAGATAGGCTGCCATGGGAACGGGACAACCGGCCCCACCCCCATCTCTACCCTGAAACCGTCTTCTAGGATCTTTCAAATTATCGCTACTGCTGTGAGCTCATGTCCTAGCGTGGCATGACAGGGGGATGCTGTTGATATCTAGAAGGCACTTCCTCCCCCAAACAGCCTAGGGCACGTCTCTGTGCCTCTGGGAGAGGAGTCATAAACTCAGCACCTATCTGAGAGGTGAATTATTCTACTCTCTGACCCAACCCTTTCTCTGATGAAGCCTGTGGGTGGGAAGAGGCTGAAGGGGTCTCTGAAATGTGCTCTTAGGCAGCCCAGTTTTACAAAATTCCCTGCGACACCCCCCCAATCCTTCCTCACAGCCTTAAGTTTAGGCAGATAGGAGATAGGAGCACGCATGTGTGTGTGTGTGTGTGTGTGTGTGTGTGTGCGTGCACGTGCTGCTTCAGGGAGAGGGTTCTCTCTTACAAGAAGCAAGCCTGTCTGTGTGGGAGAGGGCGCATGTAAGGAGTAAATATGAGAACTGCGTGCACATTCATACACACATGTCTGTGTGACCCTGTGTGTGGTGTGGGCCCCTCTAACTACATTTCAGGCTTTATCAAGTGCCCGCCAGGATGTCTGTTTTGGTTGATCTAGAGGCCCCGCTTCAGCAGGCAGCAGGAGGGGAGCTGGTCCCCGGCTTCTTGCCCCAGGACTGCTGCCTGGAAGACTCTGGGCTTTCCAGTTCTTGGCCCCGTATCTTGGGACAAAGGGATCTTTGGTTTCATGGGGCTCTCAGCCTGACTCTGCTCCCTAGATTGGAGGGAAGGTTCAGTGCCGGTTGGAGGCTGTGAGGCACTATACACGTTCCCAGCCCCAGGGGCTCCCATCTGCCTCTCCAGACTTTCTGGGTGAGCTCAGCTAGCTAGGGCACGGGAGCCCAAAGACATGGAGGTAAGGCTACCTAGGGGCACTCAAACCCACTCCTTCCTGGGATGTCCGGACAGTCCCCAAGGGACGAATAATCAGGAAGGCCTGGACATCCCTCACTGGAGGAAGGGGAAGTGGGAGGGTCTCTTCCCAAGTTCCACCTCTTTTGGGAAGTCTGTTAGAATGGCAGGGAGCTGGTTTCACATCCCTGTGGAAAAGAAAGGGGGGCAGGGACGTTTCTGCCTCTAATCACTCTTCATATACGAACAAGAAATGTTCGAGTACCTGCAGTGGGCTAAGCTGCCCCATTTCACCCTCACAACAACCGCATGAGGTGGGCAATATTATTCCCACTGGACAAAAGAGAAAAACCGTGGGGCACCTGGGTGGCTCAGTTGGTTGGGCATCCGCCTTCAGCTCAGGTCATGATCTCAGGGTCCTGGGATCGAGCCCCGCGTCGGGCTCCCTGCTCAATGGGGAGTCTGCTTCTCCCTCTCCCTTTGCCCCTCCCCCTGGTCTCTCTCTCTCTCTCTCTCAAATAGGTGGATAAATTCTTTCAAAGAAAAAAAGAAAGAGAAACTGAGGCTGGGGGAGGGTAAGTGGCATGCCCAAGGTCACATAGCAGAAAAGTTCCAGGGCCGAGAGGCTGGCCCCCACATTCTCACTCCAAACACCACAGTCTCCCTACACACCGCGGTCGTTCCTTTCTCAACAGCCCCGCTGTGTGTCAGGCCACCCCTTTCCCTGCATGATTTGTCTTGGGAAGCAGGGCTAGCAGCCAGTGTGACCCCAAGCCAGTCCCTCTCTAATCCCTCTCCAGCTTTAATAACAACACCAGTGAGATCACCGATGCCCGGAGCAGGCCTCCTCCCCTCCAAGCTCCTGTCAAGGGCCAGGCATCTGAATTTTGCCCCTGTTGTCTCCTTCTCTCTCCGGAAGCGGCCTCCACAGTCCAGACTTGGTCACAGGGAGTGACGGGCAGCAAGTCCAGGGAGAGTTAACCCGGCCTTCCTCCCTTCAGTGCCGGCTTCCATGTTAGAGCCGTCAGAGGCCGGGGCGTCTCCGTGCTTGGCTCAGAGCGGGACACACAGCCCCTCTGTCATCACCTTCTCAGATTTTGTTTGCTTCTGTTTTCTTGAAAGCTGTGCAAAATAGTCTTAACAACTGTCCCTTCGGTGTATTACCTTCACAAAACCTTAAAGAAGGACCGCTTTGGACACATGGCTGCCTGCTCCCTCCCAAAGCCCCTTACAAAAGACACCAAAGGAACAGAAAGGTATGAATTCTCAAGGACAAAGAGAAGGGAGAGGAAGCCTCAGCAGTTGAGAAATGACGAGCAGATTTTGAAGATGGCAAGTAGACAAAGGGCTTGGCAGAATGAGGGAAGCTACCACCTCAAAGCCAGCAAAGGGGGTTACTGAGGCACGCCAGGACCCAGTCTCAGGACTGGGAGGTACTGGGGTGAATCCTGGACTGAAAACAGCAGAGGCAGCATTGGGGGGGCGGGGTGCTGGCTAGAAATCTGTACACAGAAAACTCAGACTTCCTCTCCCCAGCCCACACAGCCAGGCTACGCCCTGGGAAGAGGCTAGAGCTTCATCTCTTGAGGACATAGTACAGACCTCTCTCATGGGGACACAGGCACCATGATGTTGGAGCTGAAGAGAATGGCTAAAAAGAGAGGGACGGTCTGAAAGTCTGTCTAAGTCTGTCTGTCCAGCCCCATCCCAAATCTCTGCTCCCAGATGTAGGTAGTAAGGTGTCACCTACTCAGGGAGAAGGCCCCAGAGAGAAGACCTCAGATACGGACATTGGAGGTGCCTGTCTTCATCCATCTGGGCTGCTATAACAAAATACCATAGACTGGGTGGCTTATAAACAACAGAAATTTGGGGTGCCTGGGTGGCTCAGTTGGTTAAGCATCTGCCTTCAGCTCAGGTCATGATCCCGGGGTCCTGGGTTGGCCCTGTATCAGGCTCTCTGCTCAGTGGGGAGTCTGCTTCTCTCTCTGACCCTCCCCTCCTGGCTTGTGCTCTCTCTCTCTCTCTCTCTCTCAAATAAATAAATAAAATCTTCAAAAACAATAACAACAACAACAGAAATGTATTTTTCATAGTTCTGGAGGCTGGAAGTCCAAGATCAAGGGGCCCCAGATTCACTGCTTGGTGAGGGCCCACTTGCTGGCTCACAATGGCTGTCCTTTTGCTGTGTCTGAACATGGCAGGAAGGAGGAGGGACCTCTCTGAAGTCTCTTGTCTTAGGGGACTAATCCCACTCCTGAGGGCTCTACCCTCATGACCTAATCACCTCCCAAACGCCCCACCTCCAAATACCATCACTTTGGGGGTTAGGATTTCAACATATCAGTCTATGGTAGTGCTCCAGGGAAAAGCCAGCTCAGGACCCCCACCTAAAGTGGGGTGCACCAGCATGAGCCCGCTGTGCACACTGAACTTCTAGGCTATTCCACCTGTCTCTCTCTTAATCATGCACCTAGAGACAAGGAGTCCTGGGGATTTGAAGAAAACCTCCAGTCTGGATGGAGACCAAACCAGACAAACACAAAGAAAACAGAGACATCCTTTTTTTTTTTTTTTTAGATCTTATTTATTTATCCGAGATAGAGAGAGAGTGAGAGAGAGAGAGAGCACAAGCAGAGGGGGGAGTGGGAGAGGGAGAAGCGAGCTCCACACTGAGCAGGGAGCCTGATGCGGGGCTCGATCCCAGGACTCTGGGATCGTGACCTGAGCCGAA